ATCGATGCGACAACTAAATTATCGCAAATGCTATACATAACTTCCTGCAGATTGATAAGTAAGCCAGACTGTTTTTCTAAGATAAAAAAGGAAATGTATTTATTAAAATGTTAACAACATGGATATTCAGTTTTACTACACTGTGGGATTTACATTTGCCTAGAATCGGCGAGTCAGCAGCACGCCTTTCGTATTAATCAGCCATAAAGCTCAAATAAGATCTGCTTCATGAGCTACGGAGGAAAGTGCATCTATTACTCAATTCAGTGCTTGAAAAACAACTGTGAAATTAAAAGCGTCTTGTCCATTAGCTGAAATAAAATCTGGCCGCAAACGGCATAAATAACTTCTGGCTGAACTGTGACATTGAGAAGCTCTGCGTTTACGGTTCGCCCCTCATGCTACAGGGATCCGTCTCCCTCTCAGAGTCGCTCACTGGTGGCTTTTGGCAAGACTCTCATTCGCGGTTGCTGAAGATTGGGAGGCCAAAGGACCATTTTGAACTGCAACCACAATTGATGCCAAGGTCAAAGGTTATAGGAAGAGAATCAGCCCAAAATCAGTTGATTAAAGTAGCCGTGGAATCAATGTGACACACAGCAGCTGGATTAATGAACATCACTTACTCTCATTAGTACTGTAATAATGCTGTAATGTGAATTTTTATTACTGACAAAAAAAATTGGTGGTGTACATATATGTAGTACAAAAGATGTTATTGACACAATAAATACGGTATTAAAAGTGCCAATAAATGCTATAAAAGGCAAGATCTGTAACTATGGGAAACTGTAAAATTCAACAGACCCTAAAATATTTATATTTGCTCTGACTGTTGACTTTCCCAGTCCACCCAGTCTCTGACCAGTTAACAGGTGCCACCGGCTGCATCGCCACCATTGACTTCACCTTCTTGAACCTTCCGTTACAGCCTCAGACATAGAGAAACGTACGGTGTGAAAATCTACAAGGAGCAGTGCGAACCTCAAAGGGGGGGGGGGGTGTTTCAATCATCTGGGCAAAAGGGGCCACTGCATGGTTGTCATACTGCGACATGAAACTGTCAACTGAGACACATTTCTAACTAATGCTTTGTTTAGGTTATGATGTGGGATGCATCAGCTGTATCGGCCGATACAGCAGCAATCTGTCTATAAATGAGCTGATATTTACCACTGATAATTCCCTTTAAAATCGTGACCCATATTGCTTTGCACACCCATACACTAAACAGAAAAATGTCTGTTGTGTGGAATTATTGTAACCTATTTAGAAGTACATTTTGCAAACATTGCTCTGCTGAAATTTCACGAGGAGGATCTATTAATAAACATTTCAGCACTGCAAATTTGATTGTTCACTTTAAGGGGAGACAGTGAAGAGCATGAAGAGTTTCTGAAAAACAAATCTGTTCCAGTGCAGAAGGCTGCATTACTGCTGAGTAACGCAAGTCTGTCAGTAACGCAAGCGTTTCATAGCAAAAGACAATTCAGTGCAGACAATGCGAAATCAAAAGACGTTACTCAGAAAATTACAGTTTATCACACTTGATGATCGGCTCTTCTCTGTTATAAATGTTATAAATATATTAGATGTATACCGTTATAAAATACAGTGCTCTGGGATTTTTGTGGTATGCCAGACTTTGTGTTTTCTTACCTAAAAATAAATACTTTTTCATATTTTTGGAATGTAATTCATTTATTTTTTGATTTTTTTAGGTGGGGAGTCCCTTTAAATTTATTTAAGGAAAATCTCCCAAACAATTGCTATCAGTATCAGTGTCTGTTTTTGAATCAATTGGCGACTGGTGGCAGCCAGAACTTTCCTTATGGGTGCATCACTAGTCAGGATTTCTAATGTGTGTGTGAGGGAGACTTCTAGTGAAATAACAGTGATTGAAGTCAACTTATAAGGACATCCACTAATTCAGTAGTGGCTAAATCGGCAATAACAAATCAACCTCAAATAACCCTGCTGGTCACATTCATCCTGACGGCAAACGCTAACACAATCGGCGGAGAGGTGACACATCCGTGACTGTCAGCCGTCTGTTCCTGTCATTTATGATCTGGAGGAAATGCAAAGTGTTTACGGTTAGCGGGGACCAATACACAGCGCTAAAATTAGCCAGAGATACCGATCCCAAGGGAGACCGATGGGGATTCCACTGGGACATGAATCACTGGCAGCTTAAGGCCCTTGCTTGACTGTCATAAATGACAAACTGCCGTAAATCATGCCATTTACTGCCATTTCATGTTTTTTATTGTCTTATTCACATATAACTTTATGGCATGGAACATAAATATGTCATTCTGCACTTGAAAACAATAGACAAAACATTGAAGACTACTTGTTTTAAATTCATGAACTCGGAACCATGAGACAAGATAACAATTATCGTCTTCGTTCCAGCAGATAATATACATTCCTGTGATCCTTCACACAGGCAAAACAGCACTTATTTGTGCGTCAATCTTTAGTCAGAATGAAATCAGGACAGACATTTATAGGAAAGAAAAAAAATACATTATTTAAATGAGACACAAAAGTCTGGCTAAAGAGTGAAATGCCCACCCCTGAATAATTTCCAGCTTATCTATTAATTAAAAAAAAACAAAAAAAAAATCCCAGGAGAGATTCTGCGCTGAAAAAGATTTTAAAGTTAGATAACAAGAGAGACATATGATTATTTGCCAGAGACTGACTATTAAGACGGGCGTGTCTGAGGACAGTGAGACAGCCACAGAGGCATACCGGTCGAGACGGATGACAGCGCGTACTTGTGAGGGACTGTGCGAGACGGGACGGCTGAATCCCATGTCTTATCGGCTACAGCGACGGCTCGCGTGTCAGGCTCCGACACGGACCTGCTGCGCTGTTCAGCCGAGCGGACCGCAGGTATGACAGGAAAGAGTTGTTAGACAGGCAGGAAGTCTGCCAAGGAAACAGGCGCTGGTCCGGAGCGGCAGCGCCGACTCCCAGCCTTATCAGATAGTCCAACTGGAAAGGCACTTCCACGGGATGGGGCGGGGTGGGGGGGCGAAACCACATCCCACAGAAAGAGCTACTAGGTGGGGGGCGGCTCTACTGTAAGGCCCAAACTAAACAAACGAGAAATCCTGTTAAAATAAAACTGGCGAGGGACTGTTTGGTGTTGAACTTTAGCTTATGATTATTGCAAAGCGGCTGACACTGCGGCCTCACACCTCCAGGGTTGTGGGTTCGAATCCCGCACATGAAGTTCGGAAGTCCTCTCTGGGGGCTCTGATTTCTTCCTGCCATCCACCATCATGCTGCTTAGGAGAACTAGTGACTCAAAATGACTCATAGTGCCTTAGTGTAATTACCCATAGTGCCTTAGTGTAATTACCCATAGTGCCTTAGTGTGGGCCCTGCAGTCTCTCTGCTGCCTTGTGCATCAGATAAGCTGATGCACAAGATGGATAGATTGATGGATAATTGCTCTGAGAATTTTATCCAACCCTCCTTGAGTAGGTCCAGCCCTATTTTCTCACTGTCTGAGGCACTGTGGACTTGCTGATTTTGGATTCCACTTTTGCACATTCCAGCAACAATGAATAAGGAATTTGCACAAACGAATAAGGAATTGTGATAATCATACATTTTGGTGAGCGCAGAACACAAGAAATTATTTCTGTCCTTATGCAATCCTTTACCCAATTTATAATTACCAGAGCAAATCAAAAAAATCTTGTCACATCTGACAAGGTTAGAACGAGAGGCTTCAGCCTGACAGGACAGCTCGGAACACAGGGCTGAAAGTGATGGATTTGAGAGCACAGCTTCCGGGCCATAAAGGAAGGAAAACACACTGCGCCATAAACATATGAAGACCTGAATGGTTGAGAGACAGAGTGTAGACGACAACGGCATTGATGCCCAGTAAAGACTAAAAAAAAACATCCATCCATCCATCCATATGCGGATTACCACATTGGCTGCAGCCAGAACCAGATCCAGACAGCTGCCTAGGGCCCAATCAGCACATCGGGGCCCAATCAGCACATCGGGGCCCAATCAGCACATTGGGGCCCAAACAGCACATCGGGGCCCAATCAGCACATCGGGGCCCAAACAAATCATGAAAAAATAAATATATACATGGCCGGCTCAAACTACAGATAGAATAGGCAGTTGCCTTCAGCCCCTGAAAAGGCAGATCTGACCAAGGTTCTAGGTGTGAATTAACATATCTGGAATTATTCAGGGTCCCCACATTGTCTTGTTACCAGCTGCAAAACGGTCTTTTGTTTAATGTCACAGTAAAGTAATTGGGATACTTGCTTGTACTCATCTAAGCAGCACTTGTACAGCTGAACAGAAAAATGTCAAAGTGACGGCTTGTATATCCACGTTAAACACATGACCCATTTCCATGGTATAACAAAACGTAAGCCGAGCAAACAGACAGCTCCTTTATCGCAAGCAAATATTTGCGCTGTGTAAATCTACGGAGAATATTCTGGCAGGGCAAGATCGTCAGTTTGAAACTGACTGCAAATTTTATTCAAAAAAACAATTATTCAAGGTACGTTTCAGGAATAAACAATAATAAATGCAAGATTTTATTGTCAGGCAAGAAAATTACACATGTAAATGTAATGTCTTTCAGTCTTCTATGCATTCCTGAATACTCGTATCTTAAACTGCGGTAAAGTTAAGCCAAGCCAATCAGCGGCACATCCAACCTAACAACTGTCAAAAATCAAAAACACCTCAATGACTGTGAAGTACTGAATTCCAACACCTCTCAGATTTCACGGATCACCGATCACTAATCAACTATAGCAATACTGCAGTTACAAGGCCCCCGTTACTATTAATGCAACACATTACATGGGGAAAATGATTCTAATTACTAACGCATTTCAAAAGTAAAACAACGTGGCAAACATCTGAAAATGCTTCTAAGAGGTTAAGGTCCCGAATCACACACTCATAAATGAGCATAAACGCACAAAGTAAAAACTCACCCGTATTCTTCGCATAGCAGCGACGATCTCCACTCGGCTGCTCGGTCGTGCCACATCTAGGCTGCCAATATACTGAAAGAAAAACCATCAACGCATTTACACGTAAATCTCCCGCAATAATACAACACGTCTTTAAATGCTTCGCTACAATGTTTCATGCTAGACAATCAAACAAGTCGGTTTCGCAATGAATAGAGCAAGTATAAAAGGGAAAGTGATTAACAAACTGGCCATCCAATAACATTTACAAAACAGTTGTTATCATACATAAAAGTTGATCTCACCTTTGCTTCAAAATTAACCCCATGTTGGAACGCCTCCTCGTTGTGCATGGGTATCCTCAAATCATGGCCATCGTCCACTAAATTGTATTTAGTTTTCCCCGGCATGGTCACAGTGTTGAAGAGTTGAAACTGCACGGAAAGTCAGTCTAGACCGCGCGCCCCATGCGAGAACACGGACTTTCAACCCATCTGAAAGAACGGCGCAGTTACATGATTCTCGTTGAGCAGCATAACTTGGTAGCAAGTGACTGCCAGTTATCAAAAGTCATCGATGAAGTGTTACGATCACTCCTCTCCTCTGAATGCCAACACACAGCCGATCGGGATTCACTAGTAGTATTTTTTTGCGCTTGTTTGGATTCACAACAGCGCCATGAGCGTGATACACACATACCGAGACCTGGATGAGTAGGGAGCCGTTTCTGATTGGTTGGCTCTTCTGCTGGCCTCCGTTCCCATTGGCGCAGAGTTACATCATCGAGCTAAATGAGGGCGGAGGAGTTTCACTTTCCTCATTCATGCGAGTTTCGTAGTTCGGGAGGCTGCGCGTGTCACCTAGCGGTGCGATGGCGCGTAAGAAGGAAGAGCGTCTCACTTTCCCACGGCTGTCGCGAAACCTGGGCGTTGTACTCAGTCTGTTTAACTTTATACTAAGACATCGGGTAGAAACAGGATAATAATGAACATTCGGATTCAAAATACTCCTTTTATCCTAGAGAAAACTGCTTAATTGAAATTGTTTGTGTTCATATCTTTGTGGGGACTGTCCATTCTTTTCTAAGGAAAACCCTAATCCAAACTATAACTACTTTAACCTATACCCAGCCCTAACCATAACTAACTAAACAAAATACAAAACTTTTGGCACATTTTTTTAGTTTTTTGATTGCAGTCACATTTTTTATATATATATAAAATTAAGCTTGCCCATTTGCCGATCAAAAAAAATATTCCCCACAATGTCAAAATAACAGGTTTTTTTTTTTAAATCACATTGTGGGGTACATTTGGTCCTCACAGAGTAATATATACATACCACCCCCCAGTGTTCGAAATACGGGGGGGTCCGACACCCCCGATTAACCTATGAGACCCCTTGAAAGCCTCAAAAACAAAATTTTAAGGGGGTCTCAAGATCGGTATTACGCAACAATAGGGAGATGGGGACCCCCCCCCCCGAATATTGATGGGTATTTCGCACACTGCCACCCCACACACACACACACATACACACTTACATATTTTCATAACTGAAAAAGAAGCACAGAGACGGAATGAAAATGAAAGATGAAATATCAATAAAAACGCCAGACCACACATATTTTTTCATGCTTGCTCTCCCAGTAAGTCAATGTCTTTTATAAAAAAATAAATGGTGGATAACTAAATAACAAATTTTTGTGTGTGTGTTCATACATACAGTTTATAATACAGTAACCGATGTATTTTGAGCCCATATTGATGAGTCACTTTGTGGATGGTCTTCTGGCTGTCTGATGAAGGTTATTAGTTTATATGTTTAGAAACAGACATTGTACAATGATGTGGATGGATATCCTGTGTGTTTGTCTGTGGTAAAGATGTATTTCGAGAATTTCATAATGACTCCCTATTATTAATGAGAACTTCCGTGGACTGGGGCAATTTAAGTCCCATAAGGGCCCCCGCTAATGTGACTTTGCTCAGAGTACTTAACCTGACCTGTTTCATTTAAAATACCCAACCAGGATGGCGCCCCCAGAGCCTAATGGCCAGGATGGGGGGGTTTAGGAGATTCTTCCACCCCTAGGATATCAGGGACATTAACACCTAATACAGTAAGCTGCAAATGCAGCTCTCACTTTGAATATTCCTTCTCAAATATTTTCTCATAATTTTTATCTTTACTTTTTCTATACGTTTTATATATTTAGCACTTATTTTGTTGGGTTATTTTTATTTTGTTGGGTTATTTTTATTTTGTTATCCGTCTGTCTTGTTTATTACACAGTCTGGTGTAGCGACAATTTAATTACACTGCTGTAGTTCCACTACATTCATGCATGTGACAATAATAAATACCGAATATCTTGAATCACATGTAACTTATACTTATGAACTAAAAGCATGTCGATAGCTTAGCTTTAATGTGCGGTATATGATTCAAGTGGTATTATTAGGGTAAAAATGTGGACCTGGGGGTATACTGAAACACAGGTCTAAGGTATATTTTGGGACTTGTTAAGTGATTAAATGGTTCTTTTAAACCTAGATCCATCCATCCATTTTCTACAGTATACCTTATTGTTCTGTGCAGGGATGCAGGGGTCTGGAGCCCATCCTGGAAGATATGGGTGCAAGACAGGGAATAACCCAGGATGGGACGCCAACACTGTTCACACACACACACACACACCATCACACCTATCTGCCAATTCACGTTAACGTGTTTCGATGACATGGAAAGAACATGCAAACTCCACACACCGGTTCACTCAAGATAATTATTAATCATTTTCAATTGCACTTGAACAAAAACACTACTATATTGATTATGTAGTTGTATAGGCTTATTGTACTTTAATTATTGTGATACAACTTTTCATTTTTATACATTTGCTATTCATTTTTATACACAGGTTAAAAAAAAACTATTACTAGCCATAAAAATACATAGATTTTTGTCTTTTACAGTGAAATACTGGGAAATAAGTTTATATCAAACACAGTCCATAAATGCATTTTGGTCCTTTGAATGAGCTAAATCCACGCACTTGTCATTTTAAGTTTTATTTTATGGAAAAATAGTTTTTTGGCAGTACATTGGTTTCCCTTCAGGATGATTTACAAGGTCGCTTTTTAAAATCCTAGCGTGATGCGAAAGGAAACAGAACAGACATGAATTTGGATGTTCAAAAGTTTATCTTTGGATTACTGGATTTATATGGAAAACAGAATTTCGACAAGTTTACACAAAACCTCATGATGTATGCTCACCGAATTAGGATTTATTAGTGTTAACTCAATATCGAAACTGTTGTTGTAAGGCATGACTACAAGGCCACTGCAGTGCTTGTTCCCATACTATTCGTGGTAAAGAGACACGTATTAATGACATAAACTAAATAAAACATTCTTACACACATATCTGCATGCAAAGAAACTTGAATTAAATTGGGTGAGATGATATAACGTGCTGTAGTTCTGGAAAATAAAACAACAACAATTTAATTCAAGAATTTCCTGGTGCCAACCGTCATTTTTATTGTTCTTTATATTAATTTTTAAAAGTAAAATCGGTTAAAATGCTTCTGGTGTCTTATATTTTTCCGTATACTAATAGATACTGAATACTGATATAATCTCCATCCAAGATCAATTCTCACCTCAGGGATTTAGAGACATTTTAATTTTGCAAATAAAATGCAGTGGAACAGATTAAAGGTAGAAATTCACGCCGCAGACTAGGCTGTAATATTTAATACCTGCCACAAGATGTCACTAACGCCTCATTAAAATCAACCTCATGCATGTTTTATGACGCTGCCAAGGAAACCTATCAATTTCCACTTCCTTTACTTTCATCTCTTTCAAAAAACGTTTTATTAAATGCCTTCCTTACGACACAAAACAGTTAAAGACCTAAATAATTAAACAGAAAATCAGCATTGCTCTTAATGAACCAAGTGTAAATTGAGGATAATCTTGACGCGATACCAGCAGGCTATTATGGGTGAACTATAGCAGTCAGTTTTGCCGTTAATATCAAAGAAAACCGTATTACAATCTAACGTGTCACAATAGCCATGTGAGATCCAGTGTTATGTGAGCAAACACTGGGTCAAATTCAAATACAATTTAATTTAATTTCATTTAATTGATTTCTCTTTTATTTTGACATACTAATGAGATCGATGGTGTCGATCTGTTAAGCCGGGCTGGCTGCCATCCGGTTCTGTGCTGCACAACTAGAAGAAGGTCACACACTTCTCTGCTACCCACCGCAGCCTAATCGCAGAGAATTCACACAGGACTAAGTGAGGAAGCAGCTCTGTCATCACTGCCATCCTCCTCCCGATGACTCTGAGTATGAAGAATTAAGGGTCTCCTTGAGAATGGCCCTGCAGAATGATTTCAGAGCCTTTCTTCCTTGTCAGGGCTCAGAAAAATTACAACTATGACATTTTTTCTGATATTTCAGTTATCAGACTGTATGTATCCCTTGAGGTGAAGGGTTGTTATTAGTCAGAGCAGGAAGTGGATTCTAACCTTATGTGTGGCTGCGCTGACTGGATTATCTTCATCTTATGCAATAATTAATTGCATCAAAGGAAGCAAAAGTTACTTTTACGTCTTATTCAAGCAAAAAAGATCACATTAAATATTTTAATTGTCTTTATACAGTTATCTCAGCGTGTGTGCATATGTATGCATGAAGGGTTTGGAGTAATCTGGACAGCTTTGGTGCCATTTATCAGATGGTACTTTTTTAAGGAATATTGTGAATGTTTTTATTTTAGAGAGAAGGACTATCCATCTCCATTATTGTGTAGGTATATTATCCAGGTGGCAGGCAATGTGACGCTTAACTCTCGCCTCAGAAGGTTTGTTGGTGAAAACAGGATGCCCATTAATAAATTATCATGTTGCCTCATTTGGAGTGAAAAAACATGATAATTTAAATAATTGCAACCACGGTAATTGCCCTTTGATGAATTACAGTCTAGATTTCATTTTCTGATGAAACAATGTGCATCTGAAACCAAACACACATATTCTCCGTGGGGAGGAGTTGGCAATGTCGTTTGTCTTTTTGTTTGGCTGCTGCCTTGATTTTGAATGCTGTTTATGTAATGAAAGTCTTTGTGTTTCCTGGGAATCTCACGGCTGGGCTGTCTGGCTCCCCGCGGAGTCAGTCCTGCCACGCAGACTGCCACGGTGAGCGGTGAGTGGTCTTCCGCAGGTGGTCCCTGCCATCTTTTTGTGAATATCTTTGAAAGTTGAAAGTACCCAAACTCCAAAAAACCCCTGATAGGAGAATATAAAAAATCAACCCAGCATGTCTTTAGTTTTCTTTTTTATGATCGATCACAGAAAGTGACTAACCCATTGCACATGATTTACCCAACTCTCGTTATAGCTACAGTATATCAGTATATCATGACTAATCAGGAAATCACATTTCATTGGTTAGCCCACAAATGATTGAATACACCCCTAACACACCCCCGGTCGATCATCTCATTTCTGACTGGTTCCCCTCAGTGCCCGTCCAACGCCAACTCATGAGTCCTTGATTACCGCATATCAGTGTTTCTGAAACCCATGATTGTTGTTTATATCTCCTGTTAATCAGCAAGTCACCCTTCATAAGATGCCGACACCAGTCCCTCGTCAAAACCATCCCGACTCCCATGTCCTCCAGCCTCAG